AAAAAAAAAAAAAAAAAAAAGAGAAATCTAATTGGAAAGAACTCTTAGTTATGCGACCCCAAAACCTCTTTTGAAAATTTAGTTTGACCGTACAACTATCTCCAACAGATCAAAGTTAAACAGTCCGGATTCCAAACTAGTATAGTTCCTTTAAATCTACATGGTAAACATTGATACTGATACGCTGCCAAATCTGACAAAGTTTCTTAGCTCCTCGAGTTAAAATGAAAAACCAGTAGTCCAGGAAAATACAAGGATCTATCAAAGAAATATTCTCATTTCATCTAAAACACGGGTCTCCAAAAGGATCCCTGTCCCTTTCAACTTCTTGCGGTGGGGGAAGTTGGGGAGGTTTGAAGAAGCCCCTTCTAACTTTTCACCTGACCTTTTCATTAAGCCCCTCGCTTTCAAGTCATCCACATCAAACTCTAAGGAACGAATGGGAAGCCAGTGGGCCAGTGAGAAGAGGTCAGGCTGCGCAGGTCTCTAGATCATTCCAAGATCTTTGACGTGCTGCCAGCCCCACCAGCCCCTCGAGCCCCTCCAGCCTGTGCGTTCCACTTCAGAAATGTTTCTTACATAGTCCTGCTCCAGAGTCCCCCCGGGAGCCCTGGGGGCTCATACTCCACCAGGGTCGCGGATGCCAGACCCTGGGAGAACGTCCCCGCTCCACTCATCGGCGCTGCCGCCGGTTCCCACTTGCCCGACACCGCTACAGCGATCCAGGCTCCCCGCCGCGGCCGTTCGGGGCGGGGGGGACTCCCGCAACTCAGCGCGCTCGAACCCTTACGCCGGGCCCCCGCTGTGCTAACTGGGGGCCCGACCCGCACCCCGGGTGCAACACTCCTCCCTCGGGGTCCGCGCCTGCACCCTACGCTCAAAGCCCCTCTCGGGGTCCCACGCTCGCACGCGCTGTCCCGAGCCCTCTGGGGGTGCCCTCCTCTCACCCCGCTGTCCTATCCCTTCTCGGAGTCCCCCTGCTAACACCCGCTGTCCCAGCCGCTCTCCGGGTGTCCTGCCCTCAGCTCCGCTGTTCCAGCCCAGCGCCTCTCCGGGAGCCCTCTTCTCCTCCCGCTGTCCCGGCGCTACCTGGGCTCCTCTCACACTCTCAGTTCTAAGCCCTCTGGGAATCCCCAGTCTTCACATCCCCTGACCGGTCCCCTCTTTCCAGACCCTCTGTCCCGGCTCCTCTCAGGGTCTCCTCCCCTCACCTGGGAGTCTCCTCTCCCTGGGCACTCTCCCAGCCCCTCTCGAGGTCTCCATCTCCACTCTCAGTGCCAGCCCCTCTCGGGGACCCTTCCCCTCACCCCGCTGTCCTGGACCATTTCTGGGACCTGGCCCCTCATGGGGACCCCTCCCCTCACTCCCCTATCCTAGTGCCTCCTGAGGCACCCGCCCTCACTCCGATACCTCAGCCCCTCCCCGGGGCCCCTCCTCTCACGCGCACTGTCCCGGCCCCTCTGGGAGACCCCTCCCTTCAGACTCTCAGCCTTGCACCCTCTCGGAGTCCCCCCACTCAGACCCACAGCCTCGGTCCCTCTCGGGGTCTCCTCTCCACAGTCCGCACTGTCGAGCGCGCTCCCGGAACTCCCCTCACTCGGGTCCCCCGCGCCCTCACTCCTCCCAGGGTCCCGCCGCCTCGGCTCCCGCTGTCACTGCCCCGCGCCCCGGTGCTCTCACCTCAGACCTGCTGTCACCACCCCCGGGCCCCGCACCGCTGCCGCCGCTTCCTCTCCCACACTTGTTCCTGAGTCGCTCTCCTGTGGCTTGTCCCCCGGCGGATCCCTAGGTCCGGTAGCTGAGTGCCGGATCCGGCTGTGCAGAGCCTCTGCTTGAGGTTTCCGCGTCGCGTCCCACTCTCCACGCAGGACCCCGCCGCCCAGAGCCACACGGACCCTCTCGCGGCCGCGGCTGCTGCTGCTGTCCGAGGTGCGGCTCCTGCCAGGGGTGGCCAATCGCACCCGACTGCGCCGAGCACGCCCCGCCCCACCATCTCAGTCCGCCCGCCCCCTGCCCCGGACCACGCCCCCAGCCTGGCTCCGATAGGCTCTCTACTGACTTTCCCTGATCGCGGGGCACAGGGCCGGAGCCGTATATAGGTATTTGACTGCAGGAGCCTGGGAAGCCGAGAGGTCGATGGAGCCCGAAGATTGGCGGAGTGTCGGTGGGCGGGACAGGGCGGGACAGGGCGGGGCGGGGTTTCCTCAGACACGGAAGACCTTGCAACTCTAGTAACTCACTGGCCCGCCTGGGGTGCGGTCAGTCTTGTTTGTGCTGCTTTCGGGTCAAGGTTCATGGCGCTTCTCCCTACGCCTTTACTTTTTTTGGGAGATTCCCAGGGACCACTATGTTAGAGCCTTTGCGGAGGACCCCAGTCTCTCGCTAGACCTTGCATAACTTTCTTAGTAATTCTGCCATTAACTGATGTAGCATTTATTTGCCCAGGATTTGTAAAAATTTCCTTGATTTAAACCATTTAAAAAAAAATCTCTTGTAGGAAGAGTTGCTTCTCCTTGCACTGAGCTCAGCAGCCGTCAGTTTGATGCCGTTGGGGGAAAAAAAAATTATATACAGTACCGGGTGCATACTTTGCCCAACTAAGCGTTCAAAGCACATTTTGGTGGGTACAAGGACAAAGCTTTAGAAATTTTCAGTTTGCAGATTTTGGACAGTAGAAAGACTGTGGTTGGGGAACCCTATTATTAGCTTAACAAGGTTTCAGCAAACCTGTTCAACATAACCTTTTTCCAGGGCCACAGATCTTAATGATTCTATGTGAACGAGTGGCCAAAGGATAATGAGCTTTGACCCAAGTGTAACGTGATAATCAGAGACTGCTCTTGATCCACGCTAAAGGATAGTTCCTGCCCAGGGTGAAAGTGCATCCTGCTAGGACCCATTCGTGTTATTTTTGTGAAACTGGATATACCGATCAAACCAACACTGGAAACAAAACAGCTTCCCTTGCCTTTTTTTTTTTTTGAGACGGAGTCTCACTCTGTCACCAGGCTGAAATACAGTGGCGCTATCTCGGCTCACTGCAAACTCTGCCTCCCAGGTTCAAGCGATTCTCCTGCCTCAGCCTCCTGAGTAGCTGGGAGTACAGGCGCGCGCCACCACGCCCAGCTAATTTTTGTATTTTTAGTAGAGACGGGGTTTCACCATGTTGGCCAGGGTAGTCTGGATCACTTGACCCCGTGATCCACCCACCTTGGCCTTCTAAAGTGCTGGCATTACATGCGTGAGCCACCGTACCCAGCCTTTCCTTACTCTTAAACCCCAAAGTCAGTTTATGGACTTTAGAATTTAGTTTGTTATGAATAAATTGTTTTGTTTCAGAAACACATTTTGATCCTAAGTTTTGTCAGATGTATAAAGGCCTTAGTTCTCAGAGAACCCTCTATTGTTAACTTTTTTTTAGGTGAATTCTCGCTATGTCACCCAGGCTGGAGTGCAGTGGCGCAGTCTTGGCTCACTTCAACCTATGCCTTCTGAGTCTGAGCAATTCTCCTGCCTCAGCCTCCTGAGTAACTGCGATTACAAGTGTGTGCCACCAATGCCTGGCTAATTTTTGTATTTTTAGTAGAGACGTGGTTTCACCATGTTGGCCAGGCTGGTCTTGAACATCTGATCTCAAGTGATCCATCCACCTCAGCCTCCCAAAGTGCTGGGATTACAGGTGTGAGCCACCCTGCCCTGCTGATTGTTAACTTTTTAACCCCAGCTGACAAAATGTGTTTGTGTTCTAAACAGTATACATGTTTCTTCTGGTGTTTAAAAATCATATTCCATTCATCACCTGAGGTCAAGAGTTCGGGACCAGCCTGGCCAACATGGTGAAACCCTGTCTCTATTAAAAATACAAAAATTAGCCTGGTATGGTGGTGCGCACCTGTAATCCCAGCTATTTGAGAGGCCGAGGCAGGAGAATCGCTTGAACCTGGTGGGGGGCGGAGGTTGCAGTGAGCCGAGATTGAGCCACTTCACTCCAGCTTGGGTGATAGAGCAAAACAATGTATCAAAAAAAAAAAAAAAATTCATACCCCATTCCAATTGTGATACTCCCCTTTAAAGTTTCAGTTTGGGTGTTAGGGTAGGCAGAGAAGGCCTAAAAGCAAAGAAGTTGTGCAAATGGAGCTGGCATGACTTCGAGTTCTGAAGGTTTCTCCTGAGCAGTGTGGCTGAGTATCATTTTGAGAATGGATATAGAAAAAGATTTCAAGGTGGAAAAACATGGTTTTGTACTTGATTTTTACAGGATTATAGCTACTGTCCAAAATCATATTAAACAACTCTAAAGGTTGGGCAATACTAAAGCCATAAGAGAATTTTTTTGAGTAGGTCCACCATCACTAAAGAGCATTTTTTAGTTCTGCGGCTGGCAATCTGGATTAAAAAAATGGGGTAAGTTTTCATCACCCACGTGCTCAGTTGAGTCTGTTCATTACATATAAAAAAGAAATGCATCACCATTAACAGATGCTGTTTGCAGTCAAGAAGATAGAAATAAAACAAGCATGATAAAAATCTCAGCATCTTGAAACCATTTAGCAATGAAATAAACTTAAAAATTATATAAATGAACTCTGATTTCTAAAATCTTTGCTTTTTCTGCACTATGATTATTCTCCTGATAGACACGCAAGTTACTCAATATATTTGATTGCAAATAATTTAGATGTGACCCAACAGCACAAAGAAAGAAAATGACTTCATCTTTTGGACAGGAGACAGTTCTGAAATCCTAGTTTAAATATAGATGGCAGACCTACGGTGAGATCTGAGAGTGATTCTTATTTAGAAGGCACTTCAGAAGATCTTGGAACTCCTGGAAAGACATCTTAGGATTCCATTCTGGAAATTCTTTAGTTTTGCTGGGAGAAAAAATCCCTTACAAATAGAGCCAAGATTTAAATTAAAACAAGGTAGTAAATAAATGTCAAAATAAATGGGATGAGAATAACGTTTCATTTTTAGAAGAGTCCATGGGGGCCAATTCAGAGATAAATTTGATCACAAAAGGTCTGAGAATGGGAATATTTGGTTCCACCCTGTTTTTCACATCTGTGTTCATTTTCACTACCGGTTGCGTTTCCTACGGAGACTCAGATGGAACATAAAAGTGGGGCTACTTTGGCGAAACCATTAAAAACCTTTTTTTTTTTCTCGCTGCACAAAACTAGACCACGCTGCTCTTAAAGGGACACCTTAAACCTATTCGTTCAGCAAAACTTATAACATAGGGTCCCTCTTCTACTCGGAATCGCACAAATTAATTCTTGCGGATACCCAGCTCTCTTGTTTTTTAAGCTTTCACGTGGGCCTTACTTGGCCAAATTACTTCTGGTAGGCAAATTCTCCCTTCCTCAGTTGAGAGTTAAGAGCAAGCTGTTGGACTAGGCAAAAACACCTTTAAAAAAAATTAATATTCAAGGCAGCTGTATGGTGGAGGGCCTGGGTATCGGAGTCTAAAACGTCAGACTGGACGTTACTATTTTTTTTTAAGGCAAATGACAGCTCGTTTCTCACTTGTAAAACCGGGGGAACATCCTATCGTATAAACCTTACACAAACAGAAAGGATTCCCAAGGACTGAGAAAATACTGTTTTGCTGACCCCAGGATGGCATATCAGCATCCGTGTCTTTTAGCTCTTAATAACTCTCCAAATAGTCAGAGAAGGAGCCAGGCTGCATGATCACGCACACTCTGGATGTCTAGGCTTCCCGACCTAATAAGGGGGCAGTTCACGTAGTTCCGGTTTAAATTAGAGACCACCTCCACCTGCCAAGGGCCCTTCAAACCTTCCTCCCCTAAGTCGCTAAAGATCCCCGCTTTAGTTCTGGCTCCAGGCGCCGCCTGGCGGCTGTTTCCGTAAGTCGCCTGCGAGCCTCGGGGTCCTGACCGCTGCTGGGCCTGCCCGAGGATTTGCCTGACTCTAGAGAACCTGCCTCTGCCCCTCCCCCACTATACGTTGAGAATTTTAAGACGGCGATGAAAGGGCTGAGGTTGTGGCGACGGGGGCGTCCAGCGGCCTCTCCACTTTCCCAAGAATGGCGGAGTCAGGCCGTCGTCGGGCAGCTCTCGACCCGGAAGTCGCCCGAGGCGCGAGGCCCCCGTTGCCGAGCGCGGGCGCGGGGGGCGGAGCTCGGCGGAGACGGGGAAGGGGTCGCCGCAGCTCCAGTTCCTCGGGTTGGGGGCTCCCTCGGACGCTGCTAGACAGACGGCGAGTGCCCAGCGCGGGTGGCCGCGGTGTCCTTGGGCCACGGTTAGCCGCAGTCAGAGGCGACATGAGTGCCGCCGGGCTGCTGGCCCCGGCCCCGGCCCCGGCTGGAGCGACGCCGGCCCCCGAGTACTACCCCGAGGAGGACGAAGAGCTGGAGAGCGCCGAGGACGACGAGCGCAGCTGTCGGGGCCGCGACTCGGACGAAGGTGAGTCCTGCAGCTCGCCGGGCAGTCCGGAGCAGAGGTGGGACCGCCTGGGGAGGGGGTGGGGCTGCTTGGGAGAGGGGCGGGGCGGCCTCCGGGGCCTGGGGCTGCGTGGAGGGGCCGCTGGGAGTTGCGGGGCTCGGGGAAGTTACCCCCATCCGTGCTAGATTAGCGGGGAAACCCTGAGTGCATTACACTCGACTGTGATGGGGAGGAGGGACTTAGATGTTGTCACGCTGGGGGTCCGTTTACGACCCTGTCCTCCCTCCCAACCGTCTCTCATTGAACCTCAGATCTTCACTAGTGGGAATGGGAAACTCATCCCCACTAAATTGAATGCACCGAGTGTAGTTCACACCTTTTTTGTGTCTGAGAGCATCAGAGTCCTAAGTTGCCCCTCCGCACCCCCGAAATGCATAAGCTATACTTCAGGTGGCACAGATAAGAGAACTCAGGTTGGTTAAAGGAAAGGGACCTAGAACCAGCGAGATACAGGTTTAAATTTTGCTCTGTCACTCAACTCAGCTTTGTAAACTTAAGCTTTGCAGCCTCGATTTACCCAGCTGTAATGGAGCTGGTTAATTCCCACGCCTGCCCTGGAAAGCACTTTCTAGGGTCGGTATAAGAATTAAATGACATGCGCATAAAGTGCCTGGCCTTGTGCAGTAAATGTTCTCCCCCACCTCCCATCCTCCCCCCCCCCGGAAACAGGTGAGAGAGAGGGATTTGCTTAATGGTACCCAGGTGCTATGTTTTCAGTCCGTGCTCTTTGCACTGTCATGACAGCGTCCAGAGTCTTGCTTTTCAAACTGGGCTTTATAATTTGGCAAGTGTGAGGAACACTATTTTGGAGGGATGGAGGAGGAGGAAGATGATGAATTATGAAAAGTCAAGGGAGAAGAAAGAGGAATTAGAGACTGATATATGAATCGAATATTCTGGGACAAAATCGGGCCGTGGAGCAAAAGCTAGACCAGCTGTTTGGAATGGGGCATGTGTTTCATTCATCTGAGCCTCCGAGTGCTGAGTAATGTGGCTGGCGGGAACTCAGGGAACGCCTCTTGACTGAAGGAGGGGAGAAGGGTTTGTGGGAATTTGGATCTGCAACAGCCTTACAAAAGACAGCTGCAGATACATGACATATAAAGTTGAAGGAACTGCATTCGGTTTAACTCCATCGGAAGACACGGCTCAGAGAGAGGTTTCGAATGTGAAGCATTTGCACTGCATCGCATGCCCAAGAGGGGGAGCGGTGGCACCAAAATTGAGTTTTTTCCTTTCTACTATAGGGGCTATTGAAATTTTGTAGACACTCCAGCCATTATCTTGTTCCAAGAACAATGTTTAAGATGTTTTGAAACAGTTTTTGTTTGATCAACTGGCAGCCTTCTTTTTCCCTTAAGTTGTAAGTTGGAAAATATTTCAATTATTTGTGACGGATTCCCCTTTTTTTATTGTATACAGTTGGCTCTCCATGTCTGTGGTTTCTGCATCTGTGAATTGAACCAAGTGCAGCTCAGAAATATTCAGGAAAAAAAGCTGGATCTGTACTGAAGATGTGCAGACTTTTTCTGTTATTCCTAAATAGTATAGTGTAACAACTATTTACACAGCATTTACGTTTTTATCAGATATT